GTTGGCAATACTACATCAACAGCGGTATATAATGGTGTTGAATGGAGTAAAGCCTTAATCCATAATACACTGGTGATGGTGTTGGAGATACTCACTACTTAATGGCGCCGTTTACACTGGTGCTGGTAATGATGTGGTTTAGTGTCCAGTAATGGTGTTTATAGTCCTAGTGGGATTGGAGGTCTTCTATTGGCGCTGGTAATGTTGTTTATTAGTGTTCAGTAATTGTGTTGTTGGTGCTGGTGTGTGTGGGGGGGGCTGATACTGGCGCTAGTAATGTTGTTTTTAATGGTGGTTAATGTGATGATACATGTACGGAAGAAGAAATCAAAACAAGATTAGGATAAGTAACCACAGCATTTAATAATCTAAAAGACCTAATGAAAAGTAACATTAACTTCAATTTGAGAAAAAGGTTACTGAAAGGTTTTATATAACAAGTACTAATGTGTGGGTGAGAAGCGTGGAAACTATCAGCACACACCAGAAAGAGGTTGGAGGCCTTTGAAATATGGTACTATAGGCGAATGATAAGAATAAACTAAACTGACAGGAAAACAAATGGAGAAATACTAAGAGTAGGAAAAACTTCAAGAGAAATACTTGAAATGTACATGAAAAGAAAATAGATACTTTGGTCATATAATTAGGGATGATGGGATAACAACAGAAATATTAATGGGCAAAGTTGAGGGTAGGAGAGCAGAGACTAGGATGGATGAATGAAATTAAAAACAGTCACAGAACATTTAGAGAGGAGGACTGTGGTCGCCAACCCCCAGACACAAGGACGGTACTCTGATTGATTGAATGGTTTCTAATAGTGTTTCACTTAGTGTTTATAGAGACAAATGATCTTTGTGTGTCTGTCAGTCTGTCTGTCTATAATTCATGGTATGCAAATCTCCCAGAATCTCTCTCTCTGTCTCTCTTTCTCTCCTAACACTAATTACCATGAACAAGGCACACAACATAAGCAAAACACACACACACACACACACAGGTATCAGGAGGGAGGCGACCATGTGTACAGTCTCAGAAAATCCACTTAAGAATCCTTCAGGAATTGATTCCCAATCGTAACTTAGTGAAGCAGAGGCGTTGATGAGGGCCTTAGAGAGATGAGAGGTAAAGGGGGAGAGGTGGAATGGAGAGGGAGAGAGAGAGAGAGAGGGAGAGAGAGAGAGAGAGAGAGAGAGAGAGAGAGAGAGAGAGAGAGAGAGAGAGAGAGAGAGAGAGAGAGAGAGAGAGAGAGAGAGAGAGAGAGGTGGAATGGAGAGAGGAACTGAAAAAGGGGAGGGAGGGTGGAGAAGGAAAATTGAGAGAGAGGGGGGAAGGTGGGGTAGAGAGAAAGAGAGTGATATGAGAGGGAGAGAGAGAGAGGTGGGATAGACAGGGAGAGAAGGAGATGGGATAGAGAGGGAGAGAAGGAGATGGGATAGAGAAGGAGAGTGATATGAGAGGGAGAGAGAGAGAGAGGTGGGATAGAGAGGGAGAGAAGGAGATGGGATAGAGAGGGAGAGAAGGAGATGGGATAGAGAGGGAGAGTGATGTGAGAGGGAGAGAGAGAGGGGAGGAGTCATGGCCACACTGCCTTACTTAAGTTATAACACTTCACAAACTCCAACAACCAACTCAACGAAGAACAATTATTACAATTTCCCTCAGGATACTGTAAGACTTCTAGTCCCCAAGTTCAGCAGAAGGATTCCCGGGAGGAGTCTACATTCCTACGGTATCTCTTCAGTGCGGGAAGAACCAGGAGGAGGTTTCCCCTGGCGTAGAGAGATAAGAAAACAATTTAAACATATTACAGGTTTGCGTTTTTTTTTTTTTTTTACATAAGAAGAACGAACGCCAGGGTAAACAAATAAGCATAAACGATCGCCTGGCGTAGCGTACGACCTGACATTACCAGCTGAATGTACAGTAAACACAAGGAAGCTTTACGTCTGATTGAGGAGGCGGTGGTGTTGTGGCCAGGTGCTAAACGACTTAAGTGACGGAAGTATTGTCATGGTGATAGTGACGTCAGTGTGTGTGTGTGTGTGTGTGTGTGTGTGTGTGTGTGTGTGTGTGTGTGTGTGTGTGTGTGTGTGTGTGTGTGTGTGTGTGAATTGAAGAAGAAGTTTTTCTTTCAACAATTTACGTCATCAGCTAAAGCCTAATGAAGTGCTTTGATTATATATTGTACATATTCATATTATTATTATTACTGCTAATAAATAATAATAATAATAATAATAATGTCACTATCATCACTATCATTGTTACTGTCAGTATATATAAATTGAAAACATAAACACACACACACACACACACACATATATATATACATATATATATATATATATATATATATATATATATATATATATATATATATATATATATATATATACAGTATATATATATACTTACTTAAAAACAAGTTACGTATCAGCAAGCGCCTCATTTTACACCTTCGTACACAATACCTGGTTGATGGGTCATTAACACAACACCTTATAAAGGCCAAGCGCGAGTGTTGACCAGACCAGGTGGCGCCCAGTCATATTTTGGGGTCCATGATTGTAAATTTATTAGTCTCTCTCTCATTCCTGTTCAATAAGAGTAATAATTATCAAACTATCTATCTATCTATCTATCTATCTATCTATCTATCCAGGGACAATGTAATTTGCTTCCCAAAGTGCGGAAATTATCAGAAATCAACACAGAAAAGTTAATATCCCGTAAACTATCATAATTTAAATACGATACATTAAATACCCCCCAAAAAATAACCTCACCTTACATAACCTAACCAATCAGCTGCCTCGTTACAAAATGACCCCTTGGCCTCAGTTGCAAATATCGACTGAACGAACAGACTATGGGAAGAATATTTTCCTGAATACATCGACTGAGGAATATTGTAGCTATATTAACTGATCTTGAGTGTAAGGTAATGCTATCAAACACACTCAGAGATGTAAATTAACTTAACTGGCAACAACTTACAAAAACTCCGTCAAATAATGATAACTTCAACTAAAGAAATATATCTCCGCTACACCATAAATTGCCCTGTACGTATGTCTATCAGGATCGAAATTAGGACTTAAAATGTACAAATTATTGGTGAGTGAGAGTCTAGCTGTAAGTGGTGAAGGTCGACATAAATCCAAAAGTTATTGAAATATTTAATTGGTCGTGGGAAGACTCGTGTGATTTAAAGTTAAATTCCACTAGAAATGAAACCGAAAAAAAAGTTATAATCTATTCACAGCCTTTTTTTTTTGTAATAACATCTATGAACATTTACAGGTTTCAATCAGTTAACATGAATAAATTATAAACCCGAGTAGTTTTATTTTCTATGCAGTTTTTATAGGGAGTGGAATTCTCGCGCGGTATTATTTTCTTCTCAATTTCGCTAAACGCATTTGGGTGTAAAATCTTTCTTACTTAAATTATGTCGACAGGAATATACCCACATTTGATATTTTTTATACCAATATATTCCCTGTCTGTCTAAATCATACATCTATTGTTATTTTGTTATTATGTTATCATACTGTTGATCATGAGTGGAGTCTACAAGCTTTTAACATATCATACACATTAATAATAAATTACAGAAGAACTGCCAGATGTTCCTTGTTTACTGTGTCGCGCACTTCGTCTGCCACCAAAGAAAGACACCCACCAGCTTGTTGAGTTTCTTGAACCAGAGTCTCTTGATCGATCTTGTCGTCAATGAGCCATATCAGGCTCGCTACGAATTGTCTTTGACACCTGTGAAATTCTTTGGATCATCGTTCCAAGGTCTGCCCGCCTCTTGTCACTACCCCTTACTCTGTAGTCTAGTAAGGTCCGGATGTTTTCTGTTTTCAATGACCTGTCGTCTGTTTACAGTACGTGAGATCATCCCTACGACCCGATGCTTCGCCGTCCATATAACACAACGCTCTTCTTGATGGCATGCGGAAGGTTCTTGTATGTCACCTGTCGCTGAGCATTGTGTTATCGATCGGCTTTTCACTGTTACTCATAACTTTCGTGAAGTTGTTTCCTCTGGCAACATATTTCACATGTGTTTAATACCCAGTTCCAGGGATCCTGTGTGGATCTGCTCTTGGAGTCAGACTTGTGCTTTTTATTCAGAAATGTTAATCATATTTTTCTGTTGCAACTGTGATTCTGTGGTTTATTACCGCGCACTGATTTATATTCGATTAGCTGTATCAATCCCACCAACACATCCAATAATTCAATTAAAAATGCATAACTCAACACACGGACATCATCTATCTCTTGTTAACATTCACCAAAGATCCAAAACCCAACTTTCTTAAACGCTTGAATACAATTCGAAGATCTCACTACCCCAAAAAGTGTTGCTCGCCGTCATCCCCAACACACAATATCGGCGGAAAACATTATACAAAGTAAACCCGGGCAGCTGGCAAAGCCTTCTTTCAGAGACAACCTGGATCATTGAGTGTTATGATTACCAATGAGCGGAATTACCAGTGTCTGGTTATATAATACTTATTTTCGATGAAAACATTTTACGGCTTCAAGTGGAGAGTGGAGAGTGTTGCTGCTGACTGTTGTCTTCTTGCCGTGAGGATGATAAGTCAGTGTCTCCGAGTGACGGAACTAATTATTTCCATTTTAAAGAGGTGAAGCCAAGCGTAAGTCAACCTCGAGTCTCGGGTCAGGTCAGGCCCGGTCTGTCTGATGACTAGCATCAAAGACCTGGCCTGACCTGACCTAACCTCAACAGACCTATTTGATAGCTCACGGACACCGAGCCAATAAGATAAATGACCAGGCTACCTTATAAGCTTATAAGAATAAGCTTATAAGGAGGGGGGGGTGGCCTTTCCCCTCCTGGATTCACCGCCGCTATCTATCTCCCTACCTTCCTGTATCCTGTCTCCTCATGTGATGTGTCTAGTTTAGTTCCTGCCATCCTCTTCACTAAGGCCTCCTGTAACAACTAATTAACCTATAACTTTTCATAATGAGGTAAATTATATCGAAATTAATTTTACGACATCAAACGGGAACTCTAACTAACTTTACACAGCGTCAGGGAAAAAGACTGACCCATTACTAGGAGCAGCACCCAGATATTGATCCCATTACCTCCCTGTCCTTTCACATCAACTAAATACACCTATTACTTGATCCCCTTAACCTTAACACTAGCCATTAACCTAACCTAAACCCTTGTCTCCGCGTTCTCTCACAGCAGGGAAGGACGAGCAGTCAGTCAGGGAGGTCTCCGTGTCCCAGCTCAGGTCGCAGTGTCAACAGAATCTCGACCAAGCATCATGTGAGCCAACCAGCGGCGTCCTCCTCCTCCTCCACCACCAAGAACAACAACAACCTCAAGATGGCCATGCCCTTCACCTCCTCTGCCGCCACAGGTCAGTTAGTCCTCCTCCACCTCCCTCTCCTCCCTCTCCTTCATTGCCCCCTCTTCTTCCTTCCTTTCCTGCTCTTTCACTCCTTCACTCCCCTCCTTCGCCTCCTCCTCTGCCACAAGTCACTAACTCCATCCACCCTTCTTTTTCCTCTTCTTGCCTTCTCCTCCATCTACCATCTACTACGCCCTTCTTAACTGGGAGGTTTTTATTTATCTCACCACTCTCTCACACTGAGGGTTAAGACCACCATAATAACCTAGGTACCAGGAGTGTAATATATACCTGTAATAATTAACAATATAGTTATTCCTTGTTTATCTCCATTGTTATATATCTTTTTCTAACTACAGTATATATTGGGAAAGGTATCCAGTTCTAATATTTACTGTGACCATTTATACATATGGTAGTACTCGCCTCTCTCAAGTGTTCCTCACCCGCCCACCTGTAAGAGGGTGGATGTGGCTCTTGAAAGGATTTTAATAATACATGTTCCTTGGTCTAGAGTCTCAGTAGTATCGTAGGGTGAATTTTATTAGTAACTGGATATATAAAAACTGCATATATCTGACTTACTTTAGCTACGAAGTAAATTTAAATTCTTAAAGGTTCGTACGTTGAATTTTGTATCGTAAATAGAGATGTAAAGAACGCATTAAACTCATTTGCCTTAGCCACGACACAAAGACGTATTCTCAAAGGTCCGTAGACTGAATTATTTTTCCCCGTTAAACTAAACACATGAACACCTTTGGCTCAGTCAAATTAAAACATTGAAAAGAAAGTACAAAATATCATCAAAATATCACGCTGAAACTCTATCTATCTTGGCTAGTTACACTCTACCAACACGAGAAGACACAGTTTGACATAGAGAATGTTTGTCTTTAAACCCAAGACCTTAACATACAGCACAAACCCAACCGTAACCTTTAACCTTTCCTTCCCTCGACACTGTATGACCTGAACTGTATGGCCTTCCTCCCGCTAAGATAACCTGTGATTGGATGACACGGAATGATGAGAGAGAGAGAGAGAGAGAGAGAGAGAGAGAGAGAGAGAGAGAGAGAGAGAGAGAGAGAGAGAGAGAGAGAGAGAGTGATTCACTACCACCGGCTGATACAAGACATTCCAATACCCTTATGAGAGGCGAACGACCAAACTCACAAGAGGTTCCAAGAAAGATGTTTGTATGTATGACAGAGACGCTTTGATGTAGAGGTCTTGGACGATGGTAAGAGAATCTCCTTGAACCCCGTGTCATAAAGACAAAGTGTCATAAAGGGCGACCCTGTGTCATAAAGGGCGACCCTGTGTCATAAAGGGCGACCCCGTGTCATAAAGGGCGACCCCTGTGTCATAAAGGGCGACCCTGTGTCATAAAGGGCGACCCTGTGTCGGACCCCTGTGTCATAAAGGGCGACCCCTGTCATAAAGGACAACCCCGTGTCATACAAGGAGTGAAGGACGACCCCGTGTCATACAAGGAGTGAAGGAGAAACAGTTGAAAATCGTCAGATGATGATGATGATGATTATGATGATGATTAAATAAAAATCATAATGATAATCACTAATGATAATGAGGTTTATGATAATGATAATAGTGATATAAGACGATAGTAATTATGATAATGTGATGCAATAAATATGATGATAATATAATGATGATGATTATGTTGAGATTGATGATACTAATTATAATGAAGTTAAGTTGCTAAAGATGATGATAATAATAATAAAATAATAATGGTGCCATCACACACACACACACACACACACACACACACACACACACACACACTGCTACTATGAAACTGAATTCCCAAGCAACAACAATAGAAGGAATGCTATTTCTATCAGTATTCTGTATTTCGTTATTATACTGTGTCTATTATCCTGCTATTCACGATCCCATTCTATGTTTTTTCTATTCCACTGTCTCGTTGAATTCATGTATTATTATCAATGTCTTATGAATAGACACTAGGTGATCATTCTATTATATTACCTTATCATTCTATTCAATTATATCATTCTTCGTTTTTTTTTATTTATTCTATTTTATTCTATTATTCTCTTCCATTTCATTATTATTCTATTTTATTAAGTCGATTTTTTTTAAAGTCCACTCTTCTATTTCTCTTTTATCTAATTTCTATTAAATTATTCAACCATTCATTTCCATATTTCATCAGTAATTTCTATTCATCTCTTTCTACTCTATATACCTGTCTCACCTCCCTCCTCTGACGTCACTGTCTCAGGTACCTCACACTCATTACCTGTTCAAAGTAGTAACTACGTCTTCACCCCTTTTCACCTGTCTGCCACACCTGGGCGTAGGGAATAATTTACGCCACTTACCTGAAGACAAGAGGAGGGGGTTAGTACAATACGCCTGTCTATGCCCCTTATACGCATTTGTAGTCTTTCATTAGTGTCAGTCACGTCCAGGGAAGGATTCGGTGTGTGTGTGTGTGTGTGTGTGTGTGTGTGTGTGTGTGTGTGTGTGTGTGTGTGTGTGTGTGTGTGTGTGTGTGTGTAACTCTCAGGATGATGATGATAATGATGTTAGTAATAATAATACGACAACTACTACTACTACTACTACTACTACTACTACTACTACTACTACTACTACTACTGCTACTACTACTAATAATAATAATAATATCACCACCACCACCACCATTTTCATTCACACAGTTTGACCAAATTATATAATAAAGTTTTGTACAAACATTTTTCCCCTTTTCATGTACACAGTAACTCTATTTATGTAATTAAACGTGTCACCTGTTATTTTTACGGCTCACATACACGATAAATCATATTAAAGTTACCAGTACTATACATACGACCATATGAGATACATATTTACTGAGAACAACATTTAGCATTTGTTAGGTGGTAAGATGATATACAGGGCACTTAATTTAATTACCATAACGTAAAAAAAAAATCCTATCGAGGAGAATGATATTTGGTGCGCTTGTCACAAATTACACAACGAATGGCTGTACCTAAACAAACGTACTGTACTGTATGTCTGTCTTACTTGATATCCCGACCGTGTCTGCCTCTGTCTGCCCAGAAACCCGACAGAGGAATCCTAAGTCGACAACTATTTAATGTGGAGCTTAATATGATATTCAGAAACATTCATAAACGCTAACATTAAGCCCAACCAACAAATCAAACCATGCATACCAACACACACGTAGGTAACCACTCAACTACTTGTAGCAATATCTATCTATTTTATTTTCCTTTTAAAGTCTGAATTTCGATAATCTCTTAATATCATCATTCCGCGGCTGAGTTAAAACCATAAGTAGTAGTCAATCATATTTTATCACTTTTAAGAATCTGAATGCCGAGCCTCCAAGTTTATGCAAACATTTGATAACGTGATAACAAGTTTAAGAACGCACTGAAGTTTAGTTTCATAAAGTTAAAACCAAATCCCTTCCTGTACGCTTTTCTACATCAGAAACAGGATATAGAATTCACGAACGATGTCTCTCAGAATCCGGGTTCGCTGTAAGGTCACTGAGGGAGGAGGAGATGGCTGGCTAGACATAAATATTGGTTATATGATGCGGACACCCAAACCTTAGTGTGGTGTCTCGCTATTGAGCCGACTCTCTGACCTTCATCCCTGGGACCCGAGGAGGATGAAAGGGGATAAAACAAAACAAGGAAAAGGGAGAAAGAGAAAGAAACCCAAGGATAGAAAAGAAAGGAGAGAAAAGGGTAGAAAAGAGAATAAGAGATGTGGAAAATAAAGGGGTGGGGGGAGAGGCTGTACGTTCTACAGTAAACATTAAGACACTTGCATAAAAAAAACATTCCCTCACACCGAAAAAAATACCCTCGTCGATCAGTCATGTTAATACAGGCGGATGGACCTCAGGTTAAGTAAGCCCAGTTAAGAATATCCTCAATGATCCCAACAGAGAGAGAGAGAGAGAGGCCGACGAATGCAACACCTGAAGAGTGAAAGTAAATTTTCACCTGCCTAGACCTTTTCTTGACTCGCTTCTTTAATTAGAAAACTTTCTCAAGACTTATTCCCTCGTCGTGATGACCTGTTCTTGACCTCACCTGTGAAAATTAAAGCTGATGGAAAACTGAATAATGGCTACAGTAAAACTTTTATTTTTGGAGGTATTGTTTTGGGATCATATGAAGATTAAGCACCCAAGCATATTTCACCGGATGACTGAAGAGCCTAACGTTAACCTGACCTAACCTAAATTAACCTAATGCTAACCTAACCTCAGGATAACCTAATTTAACCTAACAATAACGCAACCTAATACTAACCTAGCCTCACGATGTCCTAACTTAACCTAACCCAACTTAACCTAACCCAACCTAACCTCCCGCTGACAACAGTTTGGGTATTAAATCATAAGTAACTACAAATACGGCAATACACATTGATAACTTTTTATATAAGCGATGTAAGACACATACAGTAAACCCACTATTTAACGGACAATACGGAGAAAAATCCGTTATATCGAGGGTCCGTTAAATATGAAAACTCCATCTAACGAACTCTATATAGATGGAATTCCGTTATATGGAGTCGAAGTCCGTTATATAGAGGCTAAGTCCGTTATATGGAGGCAAGAAGGACACACCAAAATAAGCTCTATCATCCTCTACCAATTCACAGACCATCATAGCTTGGCCAGGTGGTGAAGTAAGGTGAAAAAAAAAAATACAATCCTTATATTGGTTGGCGAGCGTTCCATGTTGACCATTTTAAACCCGTGTTGGATGTCCAGGTGTGTGTGTGTGTGTGTGTGTGTGTGTGTGTGTGTGTGTGTGTGTGTGTGTGTGTGTGTGTGTGTGTGTGTGTGTGTGTGTGTGTTTGTTTGCTTGTTATTCATCATTTTCTACATATATTTCCCTATTTACTCTTTGTTATGTATGTTCGTTGTTCACTTATTTATACCTCGCATTTATTATCCTTATTTATTTTTTACTCTCCTCTGTTTATTCTTTTTGTTTACGTAACCTTTATCAATGATGTTTATTTCTACTTTATTTTAATTATATCTCTTCATATATTCACTTAGTTTATGCAGCATATCCTTCATTAATCTCTTCATTTACCCTTCTATCTATTCATAAATCGGATAAATCGGATAAATCGGACTAATAACCCGGAACTAATAATCCATGTCAAGTGTCAGCAGCAATAAATCGGGTGTAGAGGAAATATGTGAAGTAAATCGAGAAGGAGAGATGAGGGGAGGTGAAGGAGAGTGAGGGAGGGTGAGAGAGAGTGAGGGAGAGTGAGGGAGAGTGAGGGATAGTGAGGGAGAGTGAGGGAGAGTGAGAGAGAGTGCGGGAGAGTGAGGGATAGTGAGAGAGAGAAGATTTAGGGAGAATGAGGGAAGGTTTGGGAGAAGGTGTAGGGAGAGTGAGAGTATAGTGTGTCAGGGAGAGGTGTAGAGGGAGTGTAATTACAAGATAAATTTACAGTAGTTGATTGGACTCTCTCTCTCTCTCTCTCTCTCTCTCTCTCTCTCTCTCTCAACTATATCTATCTATCTATCTATCTATCTATCTATCTATCTATTTATCTATCTATCTATCTATATATCTATCTATCTATCTATCTATCTATCTATCTATCTATCCCTCCCCTTTTCATTCTTCCTGTTTCATTTAGTAGATATGAGAAAGAGGGGAAAGAATAACCCTTTTCGTTGACGGGATAAGGAAGGGGAATATCCCGTCCCCAAAGGAAGAAGAGGGAAAAAAGATAGAGAAATTCCCTATCTAACTGTAGGAACTAAATTGACTTGTATCTCGTGTGTGTGTGTGTGTGTGTGTGTGTGTGTGTGTGTGTGTGTGTGTGTGTGTGTGTGTGTGTGTGTGTGTGTGTGTGTGTGTGTGTGTGTGTGTGTGTGTGTGTGTGTGTGTGCTTGGACACGAGGGCCTGCCTGACTATAAGGGAACTGTCACTACCGGGAGGTGATGGTCAAAATAATACAAGTATTGTGTTGTTGGATTGACTGCAGAGGCTTGACGAGATGAGTGACTTTGAAGTGTGAGAGAGAGAGGATTAACACACACACACACACACACACAACCGTGTGTATAAACCCGAAATTTCAACAATGACGTCACGAATGTAAACAAACCCTGAAGTTCAACGATGACGTCACGACCATAATGAAGTCTAGAATCTCTCTCTCTCTCTCTCTCTCTCTCTCTCTCTCTCTCTCTCTCTCTCCATTATTAAACCACACACACACAAACACACACCTATATATACAGTATATATATACAAGTGATCGTGGGCACTTCGTGCCCAGTGGTACAGTCCGGTGGTACAGTTTACGAAAGCGTGAAAATTCTAACGCTCGTGTTTGGCTAGCTTGCAACCGCCGGAAGGCTGGCAGCGTACAGCGACATCGTTTCCAGCGTAAATAAAATGATTAATTAATGCCTTCCTAAAGAAACCTTCAACATAGGACCAGGTTTGTTCCACTCTACGAAATTTAGCGATTTTTCCACCAAGTTTGATGAAAAACGATTGTGCCGTTTCGGCTGCCCTGAACAGACACACACACAGACACATGGCTATTCCTATAGTATATGAGATAATCATGGTCGTGATTGTTATAATCATGGTCGTGGGTGTTATAATCATGGTCGTGGTTGTTATAATCATGGTCATCTTCTCCATGCATTCCTGTTATTATCTCTTTTCCATGTACAGTCACCCACAGGAATAAGTATACACTGTAGCTGTAAGGTCGTCTGGTAACGTTGAAACTGCGCATCCAGACGCATGTTGAAACTCAGCTTCCCCCACCTGTTTTCCCTAACTGTTTTCTGTTTCCCCTTCTTTATTCTTCTATTTAGTCACCTTCCTTCCTTTACTAATCCAAACATTAAAAAAAAGTAGGCTAAGAAAAAAGTGGGGGGGGGGGAGGAGGAGGGAGCCGTACGATAACTGCAATCGTGGGCTGACAGCATACAGCGAATGAGGGTGCGCCAAGTCCGTAGACTTGCATCGTTTCCAGCGTAAATAAAATGGTTAACTAATGCCTTCCTAAAGAAACCATCGATATGGGACCAGGTTTGTTCCACTCTACGATTTTTTTGCGATTTTTCCACCAAGTTTGATGAAAAACGATTGTGCCGTTTCGGCTGCACAGACAGACAAACAGACAGACAGACAGACATTCGGATAGCGCTATATATATATATATATATATATATATATATAAACAAATTTCAAAGATTAAATCAATGAAACTTAAAAAATAGAAAAAAATTATCCAATTTTATTTCTATTTTTTCTAGTAAAAGCCACCATACAAAAATGTAATAATTATCTAAAACAAAAATATTATTGGGATTTTCTTCTTCAAGACAACTTAAAACTGTCTTATTTTGCTTCAAAACAAGTTAAAACTATCTTACTTTTCTTCGAGACAACTTAACAGTCTTACTTTTCTTCAAGACAACTTATCAATGTGTCTTTCTGCCATCAGTTCTACCGTACCCGTCTAAGAACCCCCGGAGCATCCTGTCGACAAGAACCCAGTACTCCATCACCAAGATGCTGCTCCTCATCTCCACCGTCTTCATACTCCTTAACCTGCCCAGGTGAGTCCCCCCCCTCTCTCTCTCTCTCTCTCACTCTCATAATTACGAATTCTGACTCTGTCTCTCTCATGAATACAAATGCTCTCTCTCCTCTCTCTCTCTCCCTCTCTCCCAATACATTAAGAGGCCAACTTACTTGACCTCGCTTGACCCAGCTCGTGACCTTTTGTCGTTTCAGTCACGTGATCCGGGTACACGCGTTCCTCACCAGCCTGTGGGGGAACGACCTCGACAGCGACGAGGTCACCATGTGGAACCTTCAGCAGTTGTTCATGCAGCTGCAGTACACCCACTTTAGCATCAACTTCGTCTTCTACTCCACCTGCGGCGCCACCTTCAGGAAATGCCTATTTCAGCTCCTGCCCATGAGACTTCGAACCTGTTGCTGTAGGAAGAGTACCAATTCTCAGAGGTACCAGTAACCGGGAGTTCTTACCGGGGTACTAGTAGGTGAGAACTCTTACGGAGGAGGTACTGGTAATGGGGTGCTCTTGATAAAGTTCTTGATGGTGATCCTCAGGAAATATTTTTTTTTATTACTCGTGTCCACGAAGTTTTATACCTCAGGGGGACAATGGCGCTGGTGAAGTTACCGGGATATTGGAGACGCGAGGAGATACTGGTAGCCGGGATCCTGGTACTGGTGGCCACCTTCAGGTAGTGTGTTAAAAGATGTAGGACTTGATGCTACTTACGTGTGAGGGTCAGTGGAGGAGGTGCTAAAACTGAAGCCATTGAACAGTTCAGTGACCGCGGCCCTTATTGACAGAAGTACCAATAACCAGGGTCCTGACAAAAGCACCAGTTACCAGGGCCCTGACAGAGGTACCAGTAGTCAGGGCTATGACAAAGGTACCAATAACCAGGATCCTGACAAATGTACCAGTAACCATGGCCATGACAGATACCAATAACCATGGCCCTGACAGATACCAATAACCAGGGCCCTGACAGATACCAATAACCAGGGCCCTGACAGAAGTACCAGTAACCAGGAACCCATAAAAGATGACCCAAAAGTGTGAGTACGTGTTTGTGGCGTGAGCAAGACTTAAGACAGCGTGTCAGAGGAAAAGACGACACTAACAAGGTGAAATTGGACGCTCCTTCAGTGCAAGAGGTTGGCGATGTCCTTGTGGTGTTTACACAGCTCCTCGATTCCTGCTCAATGAGGCGACAAGGACGATCAACACAACAAAGCTCTCTGTCTCTTTCTCTCTTTTACCACAACGCTGATCTATCCGAACACGTCAACGGTGAGACGATAAACACACTAAAAAAAAAAAAAAAACAGAAAAAAAAATGTCTCACGATCGACATTTTTTGTAATCACTTGATATCATGTCTTATGTCTTCCTGGGGGGAGTTGTCGAGTGTCTTTTGGTAGAATATTTATGTCTTCTTGTATATATTTGTAATGTAAAAGTGTTGATGCGTTGTATTCCTGGGCTGAATTTTGTACTGTACCGCCGGACAATCAGACACGTCCATAAATTATATCGTCTTGTGGTGTCTGTTAAAAAGTCGACCAATTCGCGTCTTCACATCTCCCTCTCTCTCTCTCCATCTTGACAATGAACCACAGAGGGAAAAAAAACAAAAACAAGAGATGCCCAAAATAAAAGATTAAAAAAAAAAAAGAAGAAAGTACAATTAGCATTAGGAAGAACAAGAAAAACATACATACGAAAAGTAACAGATATTTTTAAGTTATTTACCCGACTGTTAAGGACAGAGGAGAAGTTAGAGGTGTGTATTGAAATCTTAACAGGAGAGATCGTTGGGATAAGAGTTAGGTGTACCCGCGTTCGATCCCAGACACGATAATTTGTGTTCTATCTTTCTCTTCGTTGTATTATATTATTTTGTTGTTTATTTCCTCCCATATCCTTATATAAACACGATCTTCTATAAAAAAAAAAAATATATAT